CTCATTCATACTAAAATGCAAAATTGACTCAATTATCAAAAGTTAGAAAGGTTGGTGTTTGCACAGTATAACTTGAGATTGAAATTAAAGCACCTTATGAAGGAGAAAAGAGTACGAATTCAAACCTATAGACTTAACCACTATATTTGAGGAAGATGAAGGTCTTTCAAAGTGATTAGATGATCTTGGTGATGCACTTTTAGATGAACTTGATGACAAGAGGCAACCAACAAGACCAAACACTTTCCTTGCAACATGGGCAAATCATTTTTCCGATGATGATGGAGGAGTAGGCCAAACTTAGAGTGTTGTGCTACTACAGAAATCAAGATCCAAAGTAAATGGAGAAGGATCAAGTAAATCATGGGAAAATATTTCACCAATGGATGATGAAGAGTTTGCTAGACAAATGAGAGGTCCACCAAAGCGTAAGAAATTTGTCACTCTCACTAGTAGTAGTAATGATGATCATAATAGTGATGGTAGATATGATGATAAAGGAAAAGATGATGATGGTGATGGTGGTGGTGGTGGTGGTGGTGGTGGTGGTGGAAATGGTGACAATGATGGTGGTGATAGTCTTGGACATGGTGGCGATGGAGGTAATGGTAAGCAAATTACTAGTTCATTGCATGAAGGTAGGAGCCAAAGTCCACATGGAGTTGTATTCACTACAGAGCAAGGATTTACACATGCTACACACTATGAAACAAGGATACTTCGTTGAGGTTGGCGTACTCATATCGGATACGATACTCGCCAGATAACCGAGAATATATATCGGATACACCTTCTATGTATCCGATAATAATTAAATAATTTTTGAATTGAATTTTTAACGTCTCTTTTCGAATTCACATACCATATAATACATTAACAAAAATTCATATTATTTCAAAGGCACATGAGTGTTTCTTAAGTATTATCTATAATTACATGTCAAAAGAGCATAAAATAAAGTTATTACATTATAATCTTAACAAAAATTACTTTTAAATACTAGGTAAATATTAGGTTTGATTCCTTTAATTAGTCACTTCACCTTGTGAATATACTATAGTGATACGATATATATGAACCTAATCTTTGTCAATGAATTACTGAGAACTCGTTAGTAATGACATGGTTAGTAAATTCGAAGCAACCTCATATAAGCTGTAATTTTCTAAATACAACCTGAATTTGGTCAGCAGTGGCTCAAACATATTCACAAGTCGGGAATGATGCTTAGATTTATGAGCTCCAGAAGGAGATCCATAAAACCAAACAGAAGGATATGAATATTACAAAGTATTACATTAGGTTGAGTAATCTATGGCAAAAACTGGATTATTACCAAGATTTTCAAGCAGATTGTACTGGAGATATTACTAAGTTTCAAAGTTTGATAGGAAAAAATATGATTATATGATTTTCTTGCAAGTTTCAATATGGAGTATGATCAGATCCATATGGGTAGAGATTATTTTCCTTCCTTGTGGCAAGCTTATTTTTATGTGCAACAGGGGGAGAGTAAGAAGAGTGTCATGCCTCATACTCCTACCCATGATCGGTCTGCTCTACCCGCTGTTCCACAAAGAGAGAACAAATTTTTCTAGTCTCATAGTGATGGTAAGAAGGGGAGCATGGAGAAGGATCTGTTAAAATGCGTCTATTGTGGAAAGACAAGGTATACTAAAGACCATTGTTGGAAGCTACATGGTTGTCATTCTATGGGGTGCGATGGTAATAGGGCTGGTCCTGTGCGCTCACATGCCCATATGACTGAGATTGAGGATCCTATCCCCACTGGTTCATCTCCATCTACTAGTACTGATAATACAAGTTCCACTGCAAGATGAGATACAGACTCTCAAGCATCTGATGGTCCTGCTTGACACTTCTTTTGCATTTGCTTTCACTAATGCTTCCAACTTTGCTCACACAGGTATACATGCCAATGCTTTTAGTGCATCTTGTTCCCCTAATTCTTAGATTATCGAATCCGAAGCCACTAGCAATAGGACAAGCTCCTCGAGTCTTTTCTATTCTCATTCCCCATGGAGATGGCTTATTGTCATTTGTAGTAGGGAAAGGTTTCATTCATTGTTCTCCTTCCATGTCTTTGTTTTCAATTCTTCATGTCCCTAATATTTCTACTAACTTGCTCTCGGTGAATAGCATTACAACGTCTCTAAATTGCTCTATAACATTCTTTACATCTCATTGTGTTTTTCAGGAACTAGGAATGGGGAGAATAATTGTCAATGGTAGAGCTCATGGTTGTTTATATCTGCTAGAGGATTAACCTGGCCAGGCAATTTTTTGTTCTTCCAAGAAATAAGGGAATCGCCAAGAAAAAGACAAAAAGTCAATTGTGGATTTGCAATTTGTAGAGTCATTTGCCCATTCAACATCGAAGTAAGCCCGCAGTTCCAGTGAACCAAGTGGTAAGTGATGTTAACTATATGAACTGTATAGGAGATGTCTCAGCAAGTAACTGCAAAATATCATACAGCCTGCAATAGTGCGATATAGCGTAAGATCAAATAATGGAGTGCCATTAGAAGAAGAATAACAAGCATTAAGCTCTATTGGGGTCTCAATTGTCCGGGTGTCAGAAAAACGTGCTCGTTATATAATATCTAAGCCATACTTAGATTAGGAGAGAAGATAAAGCAGAAGAAAAGATGAAACCTCAATACCAAAGAAATACCAGAACTAACCCGAGTCCTTCATTTTAAAGTGATATTGTAACCAATTTTTTTAACCAAATATCAATAATGTCATCACCTGTAATGATCATATCATCGACATATAACAAAAGTACAATAGAACTTGAGGTGAAAACTCACAAAAAGGGAGTAGAGTCATGGTTACTGCTCAAAAATCCAAATAAAAAATAATGGGAGAAAATTTGGTAAACCACGTCCTAGGAGCCTATTTAAGGCCATATAATGTCTTGTGGAGTTTGCACACCTCACCAGGACAATGAGGTAATCTAGAAGGAGGAGCCATAAATACTTCAATCAAATCTCCATTAAGAAAGATATTTTTCATATCCATTTGAGACAAATTCAATTAATGAATGATAGTCACTGCAATCACAATGCAATCATCTTAGCAACAGGGGCAACTGTCCCTTCATAATCTATGTCATACACTTGTGTAAATCTCTTGGCTACCAATCAAGTCTTGTATCATTCCACAGAACCATCAGATTTAGTCTTAATTTTATAAACTCATTTACAACCAACAATACTTTGCTAGGGGGTAATGCCACCAATTCCTTGGTCTTAATCTTATGTAAAACAGAAAGTTCCTCATCCATAGCCTATTTCCAAAGAGGATCAAGAACGACTTCCTTAGAGAAGGTAAATTCAAAAACATAGTGGATAGAAGCTTACTAAAAAAAAAATTAGTGGAATAGCAAGAGTTAGAGAAACCAAACCAATCTGGGCCCTTACGAGATCCCTGCGTATAGTGAGGAACACAATCCACATTGTCAGAACTTAATTGAGTTGTAGAAGAGGAGGAGGCAAGCACTACATCTATAGAAGAGACGGGTGGAGTCCTACAAGTATATGTATGCGCAATAGGAGGACGAGTGATAGGTAAAATAGAAGAGGAATGCACATCATAGACAGTTATAATGGATCAACGTAAATGAGATCAAATTTATGCAAATGTGAAGAACTGGATAGAATAAAAAAGAAGGGAATATGCTCCATAAAAATAACATGACGAGAGACATAAGTTTGTGCATAATAGGATCATAGCAACAATATCCTTTCTGACACTGACCATAACTAAGCAAAACACATAAAGCTGAATGGTCAAAAAGCTTAGTACGAAGAGCACTAGGAAACAAGACAAAACAGACACATCCAAACACAAGTAATGAGAAATAATTTAGTGGCTTACCACACAATTTTTCAAAGGCAGAGATTCCAAGAGTGAGGACAGTGAAAATGCAATTAATTAGACAAACTACAGTAAGAACTACTTCCCCCAAAAAGAACTTGAAGCATTTGCGAGCAACAAGAAAAAACGTATTGTCTCCATAATATGCCTATATTTGTGCTCTGTTATACCATTCTATTCAGGTGTGTTAGTATAAGAAGATTGAGAAATAATGTCATCAAATTTTAACAAACCACAAAAAAGAATTAATGGACTATTCTCCCTCTTGGTAGCATCGAAAATATTTAATAACAAAGGAATATTGGTTGCGTATCCGGGCACAAAAAGCAGTTAATATAAAGAAAATTCAAAATGATGCTTCATTAGATATACCCAATAATACCAGTATAGTAATCAGTGAAAGACACATAATATCTGGACCCAATAATACCAGTATGATAAATGTTGGTTTGTCTAGTGTAAGTGGAAGTAAATACCATGTTTATAGTTCATTGTCTTTATATGGTTATGGTTCTAGATATGGCATTCCCTCATACGATTATGGATCGGGGTATGACTTGGATCCTCAATATATGGTTACGGATCTAGCTATGACTCCCACACATCATCCTAATATAGACAAGACCAAGGTTGGACATGGGCAGGTGCACCCATCTCCCACGAATACAATTACAAACTTGCAATTCTAAGGAAGGATTAGTGCCCAGAAGTTAACTATTTCATAAACAACAACCAAGATAAATAGTTGGCATAACGGGTCATTATCCATTTTGATCCTTGTGAATTATAGGTGTTAGTAGAGATGCATTATGGACCTAAATTTAGGCAGCCACTTCATTACTTCACACTTTTACCGCTCAACAGAAAATGGCCCCCGTGAATTAGAGAAATAATAAAGGATTGCAACATATCATAGTAAATCCTACCTCCCATGTACATAGTGATTCACGAAATCCAAATATCGAATGATGTAAACTGTAAACACATTCCTTTCATAAGGTTGGATATTATGAAATCTTCTGGGTTAAAGCACCTCTCTGTAAGTCCATAAATTAAACTTGTGTATAAAGACGAATCTAGGTGTTTAAGGGTCTATTTTAAAAACCACATTTTACCACAGAGGTAATGCAAGAAATTAGATGTATCAATAAACCTATATCATTTGCCAGTAAGCATGAACAATTATAATATTTAACTGCAAGAAAAATTTGCACCTCTCTCTTTGTCGGGTGAACATTTGCATCAACATGCTCAAGTGGCAATACAGTAGACATATATACAAAGGGCTTTGATGCTTTAGGCAAGGTTGCAGCATAAACAATCTCAATAGCCCTCTTCAGAGCTCCACACTCAACTAATCTATCTGGAAAAGAAAACATGAAACAGAATGAATTACGAACCAGTTCTTATTAGGAATTTGACTAGGGAATGCCTGAACTCTTTTTCTTCTGTCTACAAATATTCCATGCCATAGAGAGCAAGGGCGGGCACCTTCACGTTATCACCAGAATAACCAATTTACCCATTCCAAGTTATGTACTATAAAGCTTTTACAAGGATACCAATTAAAAAAAAATAACAAACCATTGAACACAAAGCATAACAGATTCTACAACAAACAAAAGTGAAAATTACAGTCTACCACAAGTATACTAATGCATACGACGATTGATATAGAAGTGAAAACTAGCAATGCAACTAGCTTATGGTGTCTAGCGTACATGTGTACACAAAATTAAGAGATTAGTCAAAACAGATTAATGCAAGGTGGCCTTGTGAAGGCATTGATGAAGGTTTTTTTGACAGATGAAGATAAGACACCAGGTACAGCTTCCCCATACCTGACAATAGGATACATGCCATAGAAGCTGAGGTTCTAACTTTATTGGTCCAATGTGCAATCCACGAACAGTGTTTTACCGAAACCCAAGTCAAAGAAGATAATAAGGTTATAATATTAGAGATGAAGATGAGAGTAACAGATACAGCTTCCCCATAGCTTAACATACGATTCATGCCGTAGAGGTTGAGGCTCTAACTTCATTCACAGAACGTGGAAGCCAGGAATAGTATTTTACCATCATCCAATCAAAGGAGATACTGAGGTTGTTGACAGTGTTTAACCAATATTCACGTCACAGGAAGGTTGCAAAAGATTGGTTTCGCATAAATCTGCAGGTTTTCGGAATCTATATCATCTCAACCATAAGAAATAATACTTCCCAATAATATGTGTCTTCTACTTATAGTTTTCAGAAATGTAACCCAAAAAAAAAAAAAGAAAGTTTTTCCAAACAAAGCAACCTGCCATCGCCTTAAAACATTTAAAAAAGCAATTCCACCACAAGGGATTCCTTTTTCCATTGGAATTTCACCCCTATAACCGTCTCCAAGCAATGAAGATTCCATAGCTTCGAGAGGAGAAATCAAACCACTCGTCAAGTGGCTAGAACAACTACTGAGGAGAACATATTATAGAAGTTCATTGCCGAAAACAAAGATGGCAATGAAAATTATCTATAGAAAGCCAATTTTCCACCAAAAACAATGTAGCGACAATGCAAATAGAAAAGTATCAAGAGAAATCATGCCACCTTCTTTCTCATTTGAACAGCATCTATGTTTAATCATAGGATGTGTGAATCTTATTCTCAGCATTTAGTAGAGGAAAGAATCGAAGGCAAATATTGCACTTTAGTAGTCACTCATGACAGTCGCAATCGGATGAAGATCCTTTAATACAAATCTACAACTGGCATTGATAACCCCTAACAGGTGAAGACTTATAGCGCAAAACTACAATTGGGAGTGATAACCCTTAATAAACTAGATAACCAGTTAACATAATCCATTAGCAGACAGATAATGCATACCATTGATAAAAAGCACCATGGTTATCTTCTTTGAAACATAATTGGAATTGGAGATGAAACCAGTCATTTCAAAAACTGAAGAAGAAGGATCATTGTCAGAAGCCTCTATCTTCATCAAATCACGAGCAACTGACACCCCATAAACAGATCTGATTGCATCTAGCCTTGAGGATGTCACAACTGAATGTACATCTGATCTAGCAGCTCCATGCTGGATATAATATAATTGTTATGTGGGTTAAACATGTCTTAATACGGTTTAAAAAATGAACGTAACAGGAAAAGATTAAAAATCATTAAGTATAGTATAATTGCTTAAGAGATCAACCTTCCTGCAAGAGAAGCTCACGTTTATGTGATGAATGGCAAAACGACTTAGGAGGTCCACAATTTTTGGATAATCATCAGCAGAATTCTGAAGTGTTTTCCTCCGAGCAGTCATGTTATAAAATAAGTTCTCAATCTGACAAAGAAAACCATACCATCACACACAAAAAAAAAGATCAATATCCTATAATTTGAAATCCACTGATTGGTTTTCTTAAATTCCTGGGAGAGACCATTAGTTCTAAATAGCCAAATTACAGAACCACTAATTGAAGGCCCAACTATCTTGAATAACATTATACACCACCTTTTATCTGTGGTCAAAATTCAGTCGGTCCAATCGGTGTTATTTAAGGTGTAAAGCGAACTGAAGCGACCAAGGCTCTTAACGCCTAGGCGAGAAGCGAGAAGCGAAGCGACACGCGAACAGTTAAAAAAAATATATATTTTAGTTTAATTACTTCTAAACAATCTAAGTTCTAATTTTATATATACTAAATATTTAAATGCAAGTAAAACCATAAACATTTAAATTAAAACAAACACTAATAATATCTCAAATCTTAATAACAGTCATAACTTAAACATTTAAATTCAAACAAATACTAACAATTGTATACATTTTCATATTGACAGGGTAGGACAACAAAAGAAGCAGAATCAGCAACAAAAAAAAAAAAAAAGCAGAATGAAGATAAAAAAAAACAGAAACAACACAGGACAGCAAAACCGAAGCAGCAACAGAATCAACAAAAAAAAAATAGAAGCAGAATGAGCTAAAAAAAAAAAACAGAAGCACAATGATTATGACAGGAGCAGAATCAATTGTAAACAATTTCATATATAATTATGTACTGAATAAAAAAAGCAGAACAAAGGCACATTTCACATGTACTAAAATAATTAAACATGGTATAAGCATAGACCACTTTTTGGTACCATTTGTATATATATAAGAAAAGGAAAAAATATAACCAAGACATATCAGAGACACTTCTTTGTAGAAGACTCTATTATTTACCCTCATTCCTGATACTTCTGCTTCCTTTCTTTATCATAATTTTGTCATGCAGTCGCGTGACTCCCACATCCCACAAATATTCTAAATAAATTCAGCAACACAAGGAAAAAAAAGGAATGGGTTTTGTTCGAAACATTGTTTATTAGAAAAAAAAAAAATAAACCAGCGATAGTCTAAAAAAAAAGTCATTAGTGATTAAAAAATAAAAGAGACTGCTAGCCTGTAATCAGAAAAAAAAAAAAAAAAAGGGAAGCAAAATCACCTCTTATAAAAAAGCGTTCGCTTTTTCGCTTTTTTCGCTTTTTCGCTTTTTTGTTTTTTCTCGCTTCGCTCACGTTCGCTTCGCCAAAGGTCCCCCAGGCAAGATAAGCTCGCCTCGCTTCTCGCTTCTCGCCTAGGCGAGCTTTTCAAAACACTAGGTCCAATAACCTTAAGTTTGCAGGTTAAAACATGACCGCAGCACTATGTGGAAATAATGCCAGAAGTTAAGTTTGCACCAATGTTACTGTAATGTGGGTCAATTATGTACATAGTGTGGGTACGGGGTACACTGTTCAACACTTTCTTAACTATGCGATGCGATTGGAGTAGCCTTAGATGGTTTGGTGTTTTGCGTCGCAATCATTAAACCCTTACGGAGATCGCTTTCACTATTATATGAAATATATATATATATATATAGTACATCCATAAACACATTGTCAATTACTATTTATTTTACATTTGTTCTCTATTTTCTATTATCTAAAGTGGTCTATAATTATACATCCAGATACACATAGTTAATTAACATTTATTTTATATTTGTGATACATGGTTGAATGCGAATTGATTTAGAGTTAGTATTATAATTTGGGGTCGGAAATTTAGCTGATCTGAGTCGTGAATCCACCCAGTTAGGGACCATTTTATCCAGATCGCGAGTCGTCAAGGGTTTAACGATTTCTGATAACTATAGTTTACACCCAATCTATCCCACAAAGACCCTATTCATAAGAACCAAACTGGGCGTAATTTCTTTTACAATGCAAGAATTCCATTTGAAATGGTTGATTTTTACCCAACACCTAAGTTTCATTCAATTTTTTAAAACTTTAGAAACCAATCCAGAAATCCTTCCTATGTCATGTCATGAAAACTCAAACAAAAAATTCACCCCCAAGAATATGTCGTTCAAAGAAATCCTATAATCCACTATTACCATTATTTGAGCCCCCTTCACTAAATAACCTTATGCTACATTTTCAACTTGGAATTCAAACTTTGGAAATGAAACTGCAGAAAATTCAGTTCACGATACAAACTAATTTTTTTCCTCAATTGCAATTCCAGTGAACCCAATTCCATGCTGCAAAGCACAGCTTTGGTGTCTCATACATCTAAAATTATTTGCAAAAAAGAAAGTGCATTTCCACCTAGCTTGAATCAAACAAATAGAAAATCCAAAATGAATAAATAATACCATTATCTGAGTCCCTTTCACTGCAGCACATGGCTTCGGTTCATGCTCCATCATACCATCTCTATACGATACCCTAGCCAACAATTTGACATCAAATCAACCCCAAACAACAACAATATAACACTAATAATAATAATAACAATAATAACACTGACACCAACAATAAGAAGAAAAGTAAGAAATAGATATTCATTTTCTACCTGTACCCATGCAATTGACCTTTGGTAATGGTCGTTACTGTCACGTGACCCACATAGGTCATACTGGCCAACGCCTCCCCTCTAAATCCCATCGACTTTATCCCTTGTAAATCCTCAAACGTAGACAATTTTGATGTCGTGTGCCTCTCACACAGTATCGGCAAATCCTCATACTAATCACAAAGGAAAAAGAACACGAACTTTACATATATACAATTGTGAGCTTTTGTGTACATCGGTGTGTTTTAGTGTTTACATTTAGAGCACTACACGACTTTGAGGAGAGGGTATTCGTACATAGGGCATTGAATAGTGCGTTGTGAGTTCGAGAATTTATATTGCGAACATTGTACCAATATGTGTGTGTATATGTGAGAGAGAGAGAGAGAGAGAAAGAGAGTTACTCGGATGCCATGGCCGTCGTCGGAGACTTGGATGAGTTTGAGGCCACCGTCCTTAACAACAACGTTTATGGAGGCGGAGCAGGCGTCGAGGCTGTTCTCTACGAGCTCTTTGACGGCGGACACTGGACGTTGGATGACCTCTCCCGCGGCAATTCGGTTGACGACTGACTCGTCGAGGCGGTGGATTTTAGGGGGTTCTTTTACTACTGCTGGAGTGTGAACTGGAATTTCTTCTTCTTCCATTTCCACTAGGACTGGATATTCATTGGATTCGATTTCCATGGTTGGGGGGCAATGAGTTGTGCGAGCAGTGTCGATGAAGAAAAAAAAAAGGGTCAAAAAATGCGCGCCAATTCGAAGTTTACTATTATAATCTTAACCCGGTTAGGAGGCGCGTACGATTCACGGAAAATACGTTGAGGTTGATGTATTCGTATTTGATATTGTATCAGATATGATGTTTATCGGATATTCGAAAATATATATTAGATATATTTTGTACGTATTCGATAATAATTGAATATTAAGATATTCATAAAACTTTTGTAGTCGAACAACATATATAATTTTTGAATTAAACTTTTAACATCTATTTTCAAATTCACATACCATATGGTACATTAATAAAAAAATTATATTATTTTAAAGGCACATGAGTATTTTTCATGTATTATTTATAATTACATGTCAAAAGAGTATAAAATAAAACTATTAAATTATTATCTTAGCAAAAAGTACTTCAAAATATTAGGTAAATATTATTTTTGATTCCTTTAATTAGTCACTTTACTTTGTGAATATACTATAGCGATACAATATATATTTTCTTGAAACTAAAAAAAAATTATTAATTTTTCTTATTAAATATTACAGAACTATCAAAATATATAAGTATTAAACTAGTTAAAAATAATAAATATATTAAATATATTTTATTATAGTCGTATCTTGACCGTACTCGTATCTTATTTTTTTAGACTTTATCGTATTCGTATCATATCGTACCCATATTTCGTATTCGTATCCGTGCTTCAGGTACTGAATTTCCTTTGAAAATTTGATGGATAAAAAGTAGAGGGTGAAAAATGGGATGGATGGAAAGACTTTTTACTGTTTGGTATGAATGGAAAAAAGAGGGAAAGACTATCTTTTTCGTTCACCAAAATTTTTCCCCCAAAAGTGGGCAGAAAGCTGAAGACTAGTTGCCATTTTGGCTATTTTGACATTTTTACCCTTAATACACTTCTTATAATCCTGTTTCAGTATCCACTTATAATCTATTATCTGTAAACTCTTCCAAGACGAGGGTGAACGACGAGGTACTCAATGGACTAAAAAATCAACTACACTGGGCCAAATTTTGCATCCTCAAGTAGGTTTTGTCATTATCCTCCATTTTCTACGATCTAAATCATCTACATTGGTCTTTCTCTTTTTCTCTCTCTCTGTCTCTCTTTTTTTTTTGTGACAATAGAAGTTACGGTGCCCAAATTGACATAGGATAGCTGGTAAAAGGGGGTCATTTGAGGTTGATTGTCGATGGTTTTGTTTTGTGGCTTCGATTTTAGTGAAGATATGGGGCGTTAGGAATTGTCAAAGGTGTAGAATTTCAGGGTTTAATTAGGCAAGGAAAAGGTTAAGTTTGGGGTCTGCTCTCAATGCTATGGACATTAACTCAAGTGGTTTTTTGTTGGCTTAGTCCAAAATGGAGAAAGGGATTTACCAAAAAAATGGATGTCAACTACAAATTTCACATTTTTTAACATACCTATTTTATAGAAATAGGTCAATTATTACTACTTGTGAGATTGATATGTGGTTTAATCGATTGGCCACATCTTAGTGTTCTATGGCTAAATTTGAGAGTAGGATTTTTATTAAATGCAAAAACTTGGAATGAATTGCTCTTTTGATTTTCATTATTGAGGCATATTTTCTATGTTTGCGATAATGCGTGTACCAATGATGTAAAATGAGAAATGCTTTGCTATTGTTTAAGTCGATCATGTAGTAGATTTCACTGGTTCAATTTGAATAATTATCTTGAATTGTAAGGGCTCCCAGGCTAATGTATCTTTACCCATTTATGTGGCCAGTGTTTAAGGTCATTTTTTAGGTCTCAATAGTATTATTTAGTTGTGAAACATTGTAAGATTAGGTCAATTGTATTTCATTCGAACAACATGAATATAAATTTGGATACATATTTCACATGTTTTTACCATACCTATTTTACAAAAATATTGTAGATGGATAAAAGAATTCCTACTCTACTCCTTACATTTTATTATGTCAAGGTTATTGTGTGCTATGTTGTATTTGTGATAGACTAATTCATGTACCTTTCAAGCCTATTATTTAATTGGGTATGAATGTTGTGTTGGTGAATAACAATTGATATTGTTATTTGATTCTTTTTTTACTTGATTCATGTAAGTTTCATGCATATTATTTAATTGGGAATGAATGTTGTGTTGTTGAATAATGACTCATAGTGCTATTAGTAAGACTTAAATAAGCTTAATTATTTTTTTACTTGATTATCAAATTTGAGCTTTTTTGAGTTTTCTGTGTTTCCATTTGGCTTTCATTAAATGTTATAATCATTTTTCCCTAAAATTTTAATAGTTATAATAACTATGAGATTTAATGTATTTCTAATGACTAATTATTTGCTTTGTTACCATACATTTAGTAGATGGATAGGGAAGAGAGTTGGGAGATAATGGGGAAGATAAATGTGAGGACAATCTTATACAACTTTTAAATATTTGGGAACGAAGGCGACGCATGGCTGCAATTCAAGTTGTTTGTTATGTAGTCAATGTACTCTACTTGATTGGAACGATGTATCATTCATGCTACATGCACCCAAAGTAGTGGAGCAAGAGAGAGTGTAAGGCAAGAACTCATGACACAACTCACTTATAATGACAAATGTCATGATATTACACGCATGAGTCCGTATGCATTTGCTTGGTTGTCTGAGTTACTCTGAGGCACAAGTCATCTCCATGATAACAAGAATGCTCTTGTAGAGGAACAATTGGTTAAGTTTCTTTATTTACTTGTTCATAAGGTGACAAACTGTGAAATGCAATTCTTTTTTCGTCGATCTGGTGAGACAGTAAGTCGCCACTTCCATGATGTGTTGAAAGCTATTATTTCTATGGAAGATCAATTTTTGAAATAACCTACCGGGTCGGAGGTCCCTCTAACAATATTGACTAATAACAGATTTTATCCCTACTTCAAGGTGAATATAATCTTTCCTTTCTCCTTGTGAGAATATCAATTTTAATACAACAAATTCTAAAAGAAGTTCATATGTTTCAAGATTGTGTAGGTGCAATTGATGGAACACACATACGTGTGAAAGTATCTGAAGTTGATGCCCCAATATATCGAGGAGGAAAAAATTTTCCAACGCAAAAATGTATTGGCTGCATGTTCTTTTGATATGATATTTACATATATTTTGCCAGGATGGGAAGGGATTGCATCTGATTCAAGAATATTAAAAATTGTTTTAAGTAGAGAAGATAGACTTATAATTCCTTGAGGTATTTTGGTTTATGAACATATAAGATTTGAGAAATTAATCTTTTCATTAAATCTCTTACTAAATATTTTATTATTCTCTAGGAAAATTTTATCTTGTGGATGAAGGTTACATGTTAAGAAGTGGACTTATTACTCCATATAGGGGTGTGCGTTATCACTTGAAAGAATACTCCTTTCGTACGCCAGAAAATGCTCAAGAAATATTTAATCATCAGCATTCTTCCCTACGCAACGTAATTGAGAAAACATTTGGAGTGCTAAAGAAGAGGTTTCCCATTATTGGGAGTGGTGCAAAAGCTTGTTATCTAGTGAATATTGTTACTGAAATTGTTTTAGCTTGTTGTATTCTACATAATTATCTTATGGGAGTTGATCCTGATGAAAGGTTGATTGCCGAGATTGATCGGGAGCTCATGCATAGTGAAGTGCACATCGATGATACTTATGACACAAGTACCGATGATGACGATGCTACGCAAGGAGCAATTATTAGAGACTCTATAGCATCTAGCATGTGGCGAGATTACGTTTGTCATTGGTCATGATTCATTTATTTTGGCTCTCCACATTTAAGTTGTAGTTTTAAGTTGAAGTTAGAAATTATGTTATAATATGACTAAATTGAATATGTTGTTGAGATTTCTCCTGTTTTTGAAAAATATTTCCTATAAGCATTGTTATCTATTTCCCTATTATTTTGATAGTGTTCAGTGTTTTAAATTGTACAATTATGGATGTTAATATTGTGATAACTTAATTTTGTTGAACATATCTTTTTTGTATCATGCAGTGTCTCATGAGAAAGAAACAAAAAAAGAACGACACAATTGACAATATTAAGAAGGATAATGTGACATGGAATGAATATTGAGATGAAGTTTTGCTTGATGTTTTGTTAGGAGAGCAATTGAAAAGAAATAAACCCAATGGCACATGATCATCCATTGTTTTTAACAATGTCTTGAAAACACTGAATGAAAATTTTAAATTTTCATTTCTGAAGGATCATGTGAAAAATCGCATGAAAACTCTCAAAAGTAATTTTTTTGCATGTCATAAAATTTTCAATGGCTTAACTATGAGTGGATTTGCATGGAATCCGGAGACACAACTATGGGAAGCCGAGAATGAAGTGTGAAAAGAGCTTATACAGGTAATATTAATAATTTTTTGCTAGTTGTAATATGGTTGTGGTTGCATATATTTCTACATGTCCTTTTTTTTTTGTTTGTCATAAGCAAAACCAAGTGTTGCAAGATGAAGGCATGATAAGATCTATCACTATGACAAGTTATATGATCTCTTTGCAAAAGATAGAGCTACAGGGGAAGGGGCTGTGAGCGCAAGAGAAAAAGTCCGTCAATGGGAAAAGGAAGAAAATGATAATCTAATAGACCTTAATGATGGAGTTGATGAATTTAGCTTGAGCTTTGAGCCAATTTCTCTTGTTTCTTCACCTTTTCAAGCTACCTCACAAACAGCTACATCGTCAAAAAGTTCCAAATGAAAGGCAAGTATGTTAGATGTGATGGATAGGCATATTGAAAGCATCAAAGTGGAATTAATAATATGGCGCAGGCAATCAAGGAGGGAAATGTCATTGCAGAGAAGGGAATAGCCATTGTAGAGAGAGCTAGGCCACGTTGCTACACTGAGGAGGAAGTATTTGTTGAATTACAAAATATTGGAGTTCGACGATCACTTCAACTGGATGCATTTTTATTCTTGATTAAGAGCCAGACAAACATGAGAGTATTTTTTGCTGTCCAATCAAACCTTCATTTGGAGCTTTTGAGCAAATTGATGACTAAAGTAAATAAATCTTGAAGAACATTGAAAGAGTAGGCTACATTGTTTTTGAGACATGGTACCTACTTACTACTGTATGTGCGTTTTGGATGCTATATGCTAGTAATCTAGCCTTTTTGTGTTCAAACTTGGATAAGTATGGACCGTATACTATAGTTGGTGACTTTTGTAAAGAGAAAAAAGATTTCAAGTTATCACGGACCAAAATATGTAAAGTGTTTAGCAAATACTATTTTGGGACTTTGTACTATATATTTGCATGGACAGATCAGTAGAAATATCATGTTTTGTTTCTTGGTAAATTCTTATTTTCTTATTTTGGTTGTAAAAATTTCTTGTTCATGTATCTTGGTGTTCTGAAATGGTTGAAGTCTCTGCTATGCTTGAAGTCCTGTAATGGTTGAAGTCCTCAAATAGCCGATTGAAATCCTGAGCCACTGCAACCAACATCGTAGGTGAGTTACGATGCAATTTTTCTGTCCATGGGGTTTTTGTCACTTGGGTTCACGTCTGTGCATGATGAGTCCATACATAGGGTGTGTTTTGTTTTCTATAATTGATGAATCAGATTTATTTTTTGTCACTTTTTATTGTGTTAGTTAATTAAAAAGTAAAATTTTGGGAATCATGTGGGTCAGTGGGTTTTTAGGGTTATGTGAGGCAATATATTATTTTAGTTCAATGCATGTGAATATCAATGTAAAGGGTCCCTATTAATAGAGATTTCTATGTTTATATGTTTTGTGTAGATGGCTACTAGTTGCTTCTAGCTGGAGTATTATCATGGTGGTCAATTTGACAATATGATAAGGAAGAGACAACCCTCTCTTAGGTGCAACAAATGCCTCGGTTATTGACTTCCTCCTCCTAGCGTGTCTGATATTGGGCTGAGAGGTTTGACAATCATCAAGAATCTAGAAAAGCAAGAGGGTTCTAAATGCCACAAGGGTGTTGGGATGATAGCAAGGTCTATTGCAAGTAAAACCAAAGGCAACCAAGCACATGATTTTGGAAAGAAATATGGGAAGGGTCCAACTAATGATACTATGAATGGTAGTGGTGCAATGAAATCTTGAGTTTGCATTTCAATCCGCTATAACACAGTTTATCAGTTTCTCTATGGGTTGATTTTTTCACTTGAAGCCATTTTTTTTTTAAGGATATGGGTAAGATGGTTAGAAATGAAAAGCACTGTGTATAAATGAAAAACACTACTTCTAGACATTTACTAATTTTCTTATTATAAAAAAAATAAGGTGATTTGGTTAGATATCTTTTTGTAAAAAAATTCTCATCTAATATTCAAAAGAAAACTGAATTTTGACTTCTTTTTTTTTTTTTTTCTGGCAATTCATTTCCAATAATGGATCCCCCAAACATCTCCAAATAATCTTTTGAAACATGTTTTCTAACTTGTTAGCACAAATGAGTTTTGATTGTTCATTGCAAGAAATATTAGGTGTCCAATATATTATAAGGTTAGTAAGGGTAGAGTAGTAATTTTGTATGTACATATTTTTCCTTTCCTTTCATTTTCTATCTAATACCAAACAATGAAAAATATATCCCTTCTATTTTACATCCCTCCTATCAAACAAAATGGAGGGAAAATAACTTTTTTTCCTTTATGGATGAAAAGTTTATTCCTTTCACTTTTTCTTCCTTTCTACTTTCCATCATTTGTACCAAATGGACCATAACGGATTTAGGCTCTTCCTTTTTATCCTAATCTATCCTTGAAATAACTATTAGTTGGGATTAAGATAGGATTTGAATCCTCGTCAAACTTCTTCTATGTATACGATGAGAGTTATACAAAATAAATATAAATAAAATTCATCACTTTTTTTCTCCTCCAAAATTTCTCCCTCTAGAAATCACTATCTATAAAAATTCCTTACTTTTGTAAGTGTGGATGATAAAAGGATTCTAGTAGCCCTCTTTTCAACAAATTATTAAGCTTGTAGACACCAAGCCGTATAAGCAAGGCTTGTAAAGCAAGTTCATTCGATCCATTTCTACGAGTGAAGAGGTAACTCGAGTGTTACCTCTGTTTCCAAGCCAAATTTCTTGTTTCAATATGATGCTTGTATCCTAGATAGCATGGCTATAAAATTTGATGGCTTATGGAGGAGCCATTTGATACGAAAAGAAAATTTCATTGTTGGAACTATGTTGAACCCGTATTTTTCAGCCAAATTTCATCCCATTAAATCTGTTTTTTATCCAACAAAAATTATATAGTTATAAAGTATGTTGTAAGAGCTTTCCAACGGTATATTATTTGCATCAAACAAACTTCTGTAGTGAGAGATATAATGATATGAAGTTAGTATCGAAAACAGTTTTTTTTTTTTTAAATTATGGGGAAGACGATGAAAAGTGTTTTTTTTAAGGGGGGGTGCTTCTGGGTTTCAAAACCTTGACCCCAGGTGGAGCCTTTACCAAATAGGCTAACTGTAGCCTTGTTCATGTACTCCCTAGGGCCTAAACTGCCCTATATAGTAATAAAGGATGAGTACTTTTCTAAAACATTAAAAAATCATACAACGGGTTTTAAACCCAAATTTGAATACCAGTATGTGACCACTACAAGCTTCTTTGTGTTAAATTTTTTAAGATTTAATATTTATATATTTTGCTATCTGATGTGGAGCCATGAATGTCAAGGCATGTCATGGTGCTTCTTATTTCCTTACATTTATTGATGATTTTTCACGCTTCGGTTATGTATATTTGATTTTTTCTCACAAGTCTAAAGCATTAGATTGCTTCAATAGTTTTGTAGCAATGATTGAGAATCAAAAGGAGAGAAATTTAAAGACTCTCTGAACTGATAGAGGATGTGAATATCTTTCTAAGCAATTTAAGGAGCTCTATGAGGAAAAAGGTATACATACGCAACTTACAGTATCTGGCTCGCCACAACAAAATGGTGTTGCAAAGCGAAGAAACCGTACCTTATCAGAAATGGTTAGATCGATGATGGCGCAAGCCAAACTCCCATAAGTTTTTGGAGGGATGCTTTATTGATAACAACCTACATCCTTAACCGAGTAACTAGTAAATCTATGCCTAGTATCCCATATGAACTATGGAATGGCGCAAAGCCTAATTTGGATCGTTTGCCCCCATGTGGTTCAACTGGTTATGTTCATAACACCTCCCATAAGTATGGCAAGCTTGGCCCTAGGGCAAGCAAGAAGGTGTTCATCAGATATCTAGAGAATTCCAAAGGTTATGTGATGTACGAGGTACATTCAGATGAGGGATATGACTGAAGTGGAGTCCAGAAATGTGGAATTCCCCAAATAACTTCCTAAGCATAGGTGAAGTTATAAAGGACTTGGAGTTGTTTGAGTTACAAGAGGAGGTTACACCATTCTTTGGTGATAATGATACACTATCTCATCATAATAGGAGTGTATTTCCACCTAGTGGGAGTGCACCAATGAACATGGACATATTCCTTGTCGTCATTTTGAGATTGAAGGGGATGTTTTCATGTGAACTCCATTGAATGTAGATAAGCCTGCTTCCTATAAAGAAGCGCTAACTTCACCTACTCATGATGAATGACTAGCTGCCATGAGGGATGAGATGGACTCAATGATAAGGAATAAAGTATGGGATGTAGTTGATCTTTCGCCTGGATGCAAGACCATTGGGAATAAATGGGTCTTAAAAATAAAGCGTAAAGAAGATGGGTCAATTGATAGATATAAGGTTCAACTCATAGCAAAAGGGTAAGATTATGAAGAGACATTCTCCCCTGTGATGAAATTTTCCAATCAACGTTTGAACGTTACTTCAAATCATGTGAAGACCAGACTGCTGAAACATGACGTGTTGCAATCAAGAAGGAAGACCCTGAGATACTTGAGTACCACGTTCGAACACCAACTCACGTTCGAATGTCCACTTGAATTGACTGAGGACCAGAGTGATGAGTGCAAAGCGCCAAGATGTGCATGGAGTGTGGAAATAGTTTTTCATAGAAGACCACAACTACTTGAGTGAGAAAGTCAAACCTCATCTGGCGTTCGAACGCCAGACAACATTCGAACGTCCACAAAGCAAAAACAGAGACAACGTTCGAACAACAGATCACGTTCGAATATTCTCCATAGACAGGCTGTAGAATGGTTGATTTTCTCTCCGGACATTGGGACTTTCACTTGGATTTTGAATGCCTTGTACTATTTCTCCACACTACTTTGCTCCCTCCTCCTTGCCTATAAATACTCCCATTGTGGGAGACATGGGGGGTAGTAGAGAGCTTGATGGAGGCTTAGACTCCCACTCATATAGCTAGTCTTAGAATTATATTTGCTTTTATCAAGGAAGATAGTTCATCTTTTGGTTGAGGAAGCAACACTCCATCTTTTGGTTGAGGAAGCAACCCTCCAAAAGTGACTTGCTTTCTTCTACTTTTATTGTTCATTTCTTTTACTTCCATTGCTTAAGCTTCCTTCTTTCTTAGAAGAGTGAAACTCTTCAACTTTTCTAGAGTTTTACCAAAGCCGTAAAGGGTGGAACATGATTCACTTATTCTTCGTTAAAGATCGGCTCTTTGTTTAGTGTGTTTTACTTTGTAACTCCTCTACTTGGAGGGATGAATATCAATCACTTTTCTTGCTTTACCCAAGTCATGAAGAGTGAATAGTTCCTCATTAACTCTTTAGTAAGAGGTGATGAATATGTATAAATTATCCAAAAGTTATATTTGTACATTTCCTTTATGCTTTAATGCTTCATATTTCACTTTCTTATTGAATGATTGAATGCATCTAGTAAAGCTAAGGTACTTTGTATAACTGTGGGTTTTTTCTATGTCACAGATGACTCTTGCATAGAAAGACCCATTGGTTCAAGACAAGTACCCCGACTAGATCTTCATGACAACATTTCAATCTTCACCATTATTGTGCCTTATTTAAAGATTGGAACATTAATGTCATGGTTGGATGCCTTGTTGAAACACTTGCTTGTTTGTAGACGGGTTGAGTCTCGGCACTGACAATTGTTGTAAACTTCTAGAAAGGTATCGGAACCATGTGCTTAATTCTTATAGTCCATCTTTATCTTCCGATTAACTTGCAATTGACATAGGAGTTAATTGAGTTATAACGCACAAGTATAATAAGCCGGATGATTAACTACATGTTCTGTTCCTCGAACTAAAGGGTGGTTGTTACATTTGAGAATTTGTCTTATATTCTGTCTAGAAAAACCCATTAGAAAGAATCTTATATTTTGTCCAGAAAATCTCATAACTTCAAACTCTCAAGGTTTTCAATTACTTAGTCTTTGTCACTACTTACTTCAAAATACTAATCATAGTTTCCTGTGGATTCGACTTTGGACTTAACCGGATTATTACTATAGCTTGTCCGCCTGCACTTGAGTATACACATTTTGGATCAAGTCAAGTGTTTGGCGCCATTGCCGGGGAATTATAAAAAGTGTTTTTATGGTAAAAGGTAAAAATACCTCTCTTTTTGTATAAATATTTGTTTTACTGTGTATAAATTTATTTTAATTATTTTTATGTCTGAGGACACTCCTCACTCCTCACTATCAGTAGCAGACTCTTGTGAAAGTAGAACGACAAATAATGAAAGACAAGGAGAAGTTCTTGTGAGAGAGGGGAAAATGCCTAACATTTGAACCTTGCGAAATTACTTAAATTCCACAAGAATTAATGTCCCCTCTTATTTTATCTTTCTTGAAGATGCACCCTTCTTTACTGTAAAGACGGAGACAGTTCAACTACTCCCTCAATTCTATGGACTCGAAACAGAAAACTCATATCTGCACATAAAAGAGTTTGAGGAAGTATGTAAAACATTTCAAGACAATTTTGAGCTAGAAAAAATGAAACTTTTTTTATTTTCTCTAAAGGATAAAGCTAAACAATGACTAAATTCTTTAAAACCTCATTCAATACCTGACTAGCGGCACTACAAAATGAATTTTTCAGAAATTTTTTTCCTTTACACTACACTAATGCACTGAAAAGAAAAATCATGAATTTTTCGGTTAAAGAAGGAGAACTTTTTACCAAAGTTGGGAG